CCACAAAACAGGTTTGGCTCATTTGAAAAAAGCTGGGCACACAAAAAAGTTACATATTTGTCTCAAAGCTCACCGAAAGAAACCTAATGAACCGTGTACTCATTTGTGATTATTACGGCGTAATTGAACCGAACCATTTTTGAAGGGGCAGCTCTGAGATTATGTAAAAATCTAAACCCGAATTCGAACTCACTCATGGGTCCGATTTCGGCATCCGCTCAATCTTGAATTGGTAACAACGTTTCGTAGCATAAGTGAAGTGAGTTTCGAAATGACATAGAATAGTATATCTGAGACACGTATAAACAATAAATTTTCTTTTGTATTTTTATACAAAAATGGAATCATTAGAATTTCTACACTAAAAGACGTGAATTCGGAATAGCCCTGCTGATAACTGGTGACGAAAAGTGGACAAGAACTTGCGAAATAGGTCGTGGTCAGAGGTCGTTCAGGCTTCACAGATGAAATCCGGGTAAACTCGCAACAAGGTGATGCTGTGTGTATTTAAGTGTCTTCGCATTAAATTTGAATTTGCATATAAAATGCAAAGAAACTTTTGCCCCAATCTAGTATAAAATACTTTAATATCTATCACACGAACAACTCTTGTATAAACACACGTAATTTGAATCTCGGTAACAGCTCCAACGATTTTCATGAAATTTAGTCTTTATTATTTAACAGCTTTCCGCCAGTGGCTTTGCCCGCGTGGTCCTCTATTATACCTACAAGATTGATTTAGGAAGTTTTAGGGGCAATGAATCTAGCTTGGTTTTTAATCTAGAATCCAGGAATTTATTATGTTATAAGAATAATTTTCTACCTTTAACGAATAATAGACATGGCACAAAGTAATAGCGTTCAAAGAAAACTCCATAAATTTTTCATTAGAAATTTTGATTTAGATTTAGCTCAGATTTCCGAATGGAGTCGCAGTCACGGGCTGCGAATCAATCCTTCCGAAGCTCAGGTTGTGATGGTGGGAAGTGATACTGTCAACGATTGTGGGTATTACAATGTTGTATGGAACATCTGTTATATTTTCCTGAATTCAGTGTTGCTCTCACAGGAAAAGTTGTTCAGTATACTTAACTAATCCACTCTACGAAGTCCTGATGTATAATAATATTCCATTATATAACTGTACATTCGTTTGTTTTGTGTGTACAATAAAGAATATTCTAGCTTAAGTAATAAATCATTCGTACACTAGACCATCGACGCTCTACGGGCTTGTAGAACTTTAATTGTACAACGCTAAAAGATTGTGGAATTTTAACTTCATGAGAATTAAACATTTTGTGAATTTATGAGAAATAATATATTATTTTATATATTTATAACATTAAAAAAGCAAAATTCTGGGAAGTCCATTATCAGATTTAAACTACGCGAATTAAACTTGATCCGCAATGCTTTTATATATTTTTAAATAAGTACTTACATATTTACATGTTTTTAAACATCTTTTTAACCGATTTAAAAATCGGAAAAGAGGAGATTAAATGTCGACGTTTAAATTTTTTTTTGTGTATCATCACATCATCATCACCAGCCCTTTTACGTCCCCACTGTATGGGCTCAGGCCTTCCTTATGGATGGTTAAGAAGGATGGGCCATGACCCTCCATGCTGGCCCAATGCGGATTGGAGGGTATTAACGACTGCAAATGCAGCCGGGACCAACGGCTTAACGTGCTTTCCGAAGCACGGAGTAGCTCGAGATAGTAATTTTTTGGTCACCCATCCCGTGACCAACCCTTGCGAAAGTTGCTTAACGAATACGATCGCGGGCCGCGGCGCTTATCCACTACGCCACCGAGCTACACTACGCCACCGAGCTACACGAGCACTTTCTCAATAATTCACCAATTGATGAAAGATATTGAAAATTCTTCATTTATTCGACAGTTTTATGAGCGGAGGTGGTCAAATTTCAATTTTATCATAATCAAATATTAAGTTTTCTTCTTATAACACAATAAAATATACTTTTCATCAGATATCATCTAATCATTTAGATGATATGTTTATATTCGCCAAAAAACAAAAGATTGCGTGTTTTGCATCCATTCAAAACCTGAAAGAAGGAATTTATATGTTCGACGGTAATATATATTGTTTGTAAGTAGGTATGTTCAGTTGTAAACTAGCTGTTTCCCCGCGACTTCGCCTGCTTAAAATTATAACCTATGTCCCCTGCGTATGACCTTCCCGTAGATGAAAGAATTTTATAATCGGTCCAATAGTTTCGGAGCCTTTCTAATGCAAACAAATAATCAATAAAAATATTTCCTCTATAAAATTTGAGTATAGATATTATTACAATTAATTAATTTTGCATTCACAATGCTACACTGGAATATATTCTTAATGAAAAATGCTTGAAAATCTACCAGCCCCGGGTACTCTGAGATAGGACTCGAACCCGCGACCTTTTGCAAGCCGGGCCCTAACCACTAACCTATACAGGACCTAACAGGACTGACGAATTTTTCAAGCACTTATTACTTTTCGCTACTAGTGAGCTTATTATTATCATGTTCAGGCAATACACCCAAACAGGCGAAAATTATATATTTTATATGTATATAAATATAATATTAATTATCATTTTTTTAAAGTTTGAAGTCGGTTCTATTTATTTTTTATTTTTTTACTTATTGTAGTACACATTTTTGTATGCAACATGTACGAGTCTTAAGTTATTGTAAGAAAATAATTATTTACTATGACATCTGTTACATAATAAATCCCATAAACCGATGTATATTACTGCACCTATTAAATAAAATTGTTATAGATTTCCGTTCCAAGTGCTGTGGCACTTATGCATTGTAATTTTTATTACAACGGGTACTTATTATGTCAATTTTCTGTCAAATTATAAATGACAAAACACTTCTAGTAAGAGATATATGTAATGATGAGGTACCATAAGGGGCTTTTGCGGCTTTGAAAATTAATCAAATTTCAGGTTGATCGCATCTATAAAATTTTCGTATTAAAATATTTCAGAATATATATAAGTATTTGTAGTTTTCATTGATATTTTGTTATCTACGAGTATTTTAATATACAAGCCTAAAAGGAGAATGGGCAATTTACTATGAGAGATCGGCTATTTTTGCGTAGCCGTGCACATTGTTGGAACCAATCGCAAACGATAGAGAATTATTTCTAGAATGAGTAGGTAAAAAACCATTTTAAAATTATGCCGGAGTTTGAGAATATCTGAATATTTAACAGAGATTTTAAGGTTATGTCGTTATAATATCTACGTATATAAGAGCAATAAAATGAATATTGTATTTCAAACAATCGATGACTAATGAATATAAACATTAAATTGCGAAAAAAAAAATCTATACCTATATTACAAAAAGGAAAGATTGAATTTTTTAGTGTAAAAGATAAACTCTAAAACGACTGGGCCGATTAAAAACTAGTATTTGACTAATATAGTACCTAATTAACATTATCAAAGTTAAAATACTTCATATTGTAAAAGTAATGGTAGGAAGTTCGCATGTCAAGTCGATCAATAACTTGAAACTTAGTAGGTAGTCATAGTTATATTGCAGTAGGTAGGTATATACGAAATCTTAATTTAAGATATTTAGGTATTTATCTAATGTAATCTTGTTGTATTTATGTATAACACAAAACATTTTGTTATATTTATGTATAACGCATGTTTCTTCCTCCGTGAAAACTTATCCTTATCCTTATGCCTACACGAATAAACAAAGCCTATTCTTTCGGTTTCTAGTGATGAATGTTAACTTGGCCAATCGCTGGTTCAGTTTGTACGAGTCATATTAAGATTCAATTAATTTGTCTCTTAATTTACTATGAAATAGTGTACATACCTTTGTTCATGCTCAAAAGCAAACCGAAGAAAGTCTTATCTTAGATTTTTTCGATACGAGATTAATCCTTTATTTTTCTATAATCGATAAGGCGATCATCCTAATCTAGTCTATGTTGCATGGTTGACATTAGTCTAAATTGGTTAGTTTAGCAATTGTTTTAATACGGTTTATTTTAAACGCCGCATAATTATATAATAATATTTATATAGCATAAATTATAATTAAAGAGAAGATTTTTGATAAATAAATGCGTAGTACGCAATTTATGTCATTTTAGCCGACTTTTGCCCATTCTCCTTTGCAATTTTTCCATTTTTTGCTAAAGTCCATCACTTTTCGATGATTTAATTAAATATTTTTAAATCATCGTAGTAGCGCAACACTTTTATTATTAAGTATGTTTTATGTCTCATATTTGAATTAGAAAGTGTTGCGCCCTTGCGCTCACATAAAATCTTGGAAAAGTGGTGAAAAAAGAAAAATATGCAAACTTCGGTCTTTTAAAACATCAACCTCCTGGTGACCCTTGTCATCGGCGATAGCAGCGTCGCAGTCGCCACTAAAGGCCCTAAAGAGGCAGACTAGCAGGCGTATTTACTGACTCAAGTGACATACTAAAGTCGAAATCCCCTGCGGTGTAAAGACTGTATGTAACAAGGACGACCGCTGGAGCCTGACATTCAGGTTTATTCAGGCACAGAAGCTACTCAAATTTTAAAATGAAGTGTAATTGTTTTTCTAAATGAATGTAATTATAATTATAAGATTACATTAATTTGGTTCAAACTGCATAATCAACTAAAGTGCCAAATATTATCGAAATGCGTTTTATTGCTGCTGCGTTGTTAAAATATAAAATATATTATTATAACAAATAAATATAATTTAGAGACACAGTTATAAAATACATAAGCTAAACAAACGAGGCAATGTCTCGTTTTTGAGATGTAATATAGATTATTTATAATACTAGCTATCTGGCAGTGTATTTCATGTTTGCTATGCATTTAACTGCTCAAAAATTCACTTAAAGCAAATATAATTACGTTTTAGATACTGATCGTTTTTGTTATTAATTCAATCTCAAGTATTTTTATTACCTTGCGGTGTATAGGCGCAGGTGAATGGTTGGCGAAAATGCGAATTATTTACGTTTCAGTAGTTCCATAACCGGAATAATATCTTTTATATATTCTAAAGAATGTTTTCTACCATATGTAACTAAAAATAAAAGTGAAATGTACTTTTCAGGACATAAAAATTTTTGGAAGTTAACGTGTCAAATAATACCCAATGGCAAGGATAGGGTTAAAATAAATGAGTTACAGAATACAAAAACCGCGCTATGACCGTTTGTCCATAGAGCTCTGTGTACAATTAATTTCAGTTCTACAAGTCATTAAAACTTTTTATAAAAAGTAGAACCGACTCCAAACTTTAAATAAGTGATAAATTATACTTTTCTCAAAACCAACTTATTCAAGAAATATACATCAAAGAGTAAAGTATACATAGGTACTTGTTGAACAAGCTGAAATGGGCCATGTCATAACATATCATCTTATTATTTAGGTAATATCTGTTGGAAAGCGTAATTTGTTTTGTTATAAAAGGAAAACTACTTATTCGATTTCGATGAAATTTCCACCTCGATCCATCAAGCTATCGAATAAAAAAGAATTTTGGAAATCGGTCAACAGTTGAAGAAAATATCAGTGAACATATATACATAAAAAACATATATCGCTGTCGAACATATAACCTTTTCGATTTTGAAGTCGATTGTAAATGAGCTAGAAACGTTTGTCAGCATTGTTGTGTGTTAGCACAATATAATAACATGTACAAACTTTTAACTTATTATACAAACTTATCATTAATGAGTCCTGAGAAAATTGAAAAAACTTAAGTTTTTGCCAATTAATAAACATTAAAATAAAACAAATTATCTCCAATATGAAGATAACAGACGTTAAGTGGATAATAACAGTGCCATCAATACATATTACGACTTGTTTTTAAATTACCCGCTGCAGTATACTTTTCAATCTTAAACATTAAAGATGTTGCTCTTAACATTGCTACTGTTCTTTATTTTTATATTGATATTCGTTTATTTCATCACACATTATAATGAGAGTTATTGGCAAAAACGAGGAGTGATTTTCGATAAAGGAAATGTGATTGGACCTTTTTCTGAAGTTTTTGGTGGCAAACGGACGTTATTCGAAACATTCGGTGATATGTACAAGAAATATGCTAATGAACCTGCCGTAGGGTTCAATTTACTATTCACGCCTGCGATATTTGTGATCGACCCAAATAATGTCCGCTACGTGATGCAGGGTCATATGTTCATTGATAGAGGTACCGATTACCATAAAGAAGATTATCTGGCAGACAACTTACTTTTCATGAGCAATTCCCGGTGGAAGCTTATGAGACAGAAAATGTCTCCGACATTTACAACGACAAAGTTGAGAAATATGTACTATGTCATCGATAAGAGCTCCCAGGATTTTATAGATTATTTGCAAAAGAATCCCATTAAGATAGATAACACGTTGGACACGTTGAGTATGCTCTGTTGTGCTGCAGTCATAGGTACAGTATTCGGTGTTACCAGTGAATCCTTATTCGATTCGCCTTTCTTAGATGTAGCCAAGAAAGCGTTTTATCCAAATTTCAAGAATAATTTTAAATTTTTAATTTCTAATGTCTCTTCGGGAATGTTTAGTGCACTAAAGTTAAAGTTCTTCAAAGAGCACGAGACATTTTTCTTTGGTGCCATAAAACAGGTGTTTAGAAAACGGGAACGGGAGGGGGCGAAGAAACATGATTTCGTTGATATATGCCTCAATATTCAGAAAAATGGTGTTATGAAAGATGAAGAGTCAGGTTTGCAACTGCAACCTACGGACGAGCTATTGGCGGCGCAAGGCTTCTTTTTCTTTATAGCTGGCGTAGAGCCTACAGCGACGAGTTTGTTTGGTGCTATGATTGAAATAGGCAGGCATTCTGAAATTCAGAAGAGACTTCATGAAGAGATAGATGCAGTTTTTGAAAAATACAATAACGTATTGACTTACGACGCAATCATGGAAATGGAATATTTGGATAAAGTTTTAAATGAATCACTTCGCCTCTATCCTCCAATTGGTTTCTTGACAAAACGGTGCACAGAAACGACGGTTCTACCTGTGGGAAATATCAAAATTGACAAAGGTACTAAGGTTTACACCCCTATTCATGCGTACCATCATGATCCTCGATATTTTAAAGACCCCCACGTATTTAACCCTGAAAGATTTTCTGACGAAGCGAAGAAAAATTTCGGTATAATCTATCAGCCATTTGGATATGGGAGCAGGATATGCCTCGGTATGCGATACGCAAGATTGCAGGCGAAGAGTGGATTAGCTCACATACTTCGAAATTTTGATCTCACAACCTGTATAGGTAAAGGAGGGATTAAATTTGTCAAAAACCAGATACAAGTCCGTATTGATAACGTTGAAGTTTTATACACACCCAGAACAACTAAATGCACATTTAAATAATTTCATGTAATAAAATAGGTAGTGTTTTTGTTTTCTATAAAACTTTTATAATTGTGCCTAAAATATTTTAGTCATTCATCGTGATGCTTGATTATACTTGATATTATATCGTATCGTATTATATTATATCGTGATATTATATTGTTACTTCCATATAAGTACCCACTTCACGAAATCAATATCAGGTTATGAAATTCTATCAAATTTTTGTACATAGTACATATTAAAATTTAATTTGCCTCCCAGTAAAGTGCTATCAATCTTCGCCCCAAGAAATATTTAACTTTCGTCAAAGGTTATGAACTTATTCAAAACTCCCGTTAATTAACATTTTAAGAACAAAGTTGTTTCTTCAAATACAATTAATTATATTAATAAATACTCTTTATTGCACAAAATTCGATTATCGGCCTTATCGATTATCGATAGCCAAGGATTTCGGCGACCATGCATTGGATGGAAAAAAATAGCATCTTGTGCATACAACAAATAACAATTTAAATTAATCGAAACGGAACAGAAGAACAACAGTTATAATAGCGAAATATCACCAAAAAAGTATATTAAGTCAAGTCAATAAAATTCATACACAAAGAACTGAGAAAAGAACATAGAAAATCAGACTAAACTATTGACAGGAAATGGGATTTTAATTGTATTTGAAAGAGTTTAAAGATTTTCAGGTAAACCTGAATATACCAGGCGGGCGAAACTCTCGTTCCGTCGTTAAACAATTTTATTGCTTGTAATGTAAAGTATTGATTATATTTTTTTTGTGATATTGGGAGGAATGAACAATCGATAGTTATTAGAAGAGAAAAGAGATCATGCGTAGATGAAAAAATTGAAAGCGTAATTTGAGATATGGGGTTATTATGGGATTGTATAGTAAATAGTAGAGAAGTGAGACGAGCCAATGAAGAAATTAAAGAGGAAAGAATAGCACACTAAAAAGTTGCAAATATATTATTGAGACTAAATTTAGCCTTGAAGTACTTTTCAATGCTAACCTTTTTTAGACTTTCATAAGCAGACATATCCAATTACATTTTGAAATGTTTGTTCTATTAATCTGTGTATTTTTGTCGTATCCTTAGATTCTATTTTTGAATACCCAAAAATATTATTATTTTATTGTATTATATTTTATTTTATTAGTGTTGTTATCGAGATTTTTATATGCTAGACCGATCGAGTAGAATTTTGTGGTACACACCGGTGGTCTGAAACCCACTGACGTAACAAAAACAAAACAAATCACATGAGATATATAGAATGTCGTTTTTATAATTATATAAAAAATAAAACGTTTTATTTTTCTTTATATACCTACTTTTATCTTTATATACCTTCTTTTTTTTGTATTCCCGACTCTTGCTCCTTTTTAATCTATACTTATAATAAATCTGTAGAGAGGTCAATTCTGTACATGAAATAAATTTCCAAAATAACTATCAGGGGGTGATTAAGGATCGATACTGATGCCAAAAATGCAATCAGTAAAATTTTTGTCTGTCTGTCTGTATATCTGTTATAGAAACAAAAACTACTCGACGGATTTTAACGAAACTTGGTACAATTATTTTTCATACTCCTGAGCTGATTATAGTATACTCTTCATCACGCTACAATCAATAGGAGCAGAGCAGTGAAGGGAAATGTTGGGAAAACGGGAGAAGTTACTCCATTTTTTAAGCTTCCGTCGCGTGTGCAACCTTAATGGTTAAAGCTGCCCAGAAATCATGTATGACGGAAATGTTCTCCTTAAAATTATATAAAAAATATCCCACGACAACATATGTCTGTCTTTTATGGTTGACTCACAATAACACGTGTAACTCCCGATAGCTTAGCAGTTCGAAGCTTTCTGATTGTATTTGTCTATTGTCTACTCTTACGTTCATAACACTCTCAGTCATCCCTAATTTAAAAAGTTAACTGCATTAAGTATTCCATAAAAAAGAATCATAGAAATCGGTATAGAAATATATTAGTCGAAATAGATTTTTGAGAAACACATTGGTTTAATGACATTAGTCTTCAGGTAGCTACAAAGACGAACACATGACAAAGACATGTCTTATAAAAAAACAAGAACCTAGGGTTTGTTAATGTCAAGTTAATAATTTCATTTTGTTACTATTTTATCATCCTGGACCCGATATATCTATACTAATATTATAAAGCTGCAGTGTTTGTTTGTTTGTTTGAATGCGCTAATCTCAGGAACTACTGGTTTGAATTGAAAAATTCTTTTTGTGTTGAATAGACCATTTATCGAGGAAGGCTTTAGGCTATATAACATCACGCTGCAACTATTAGGAGCGAATAATGGAAAACGCGGACGAAGTCGCTGGCGGCCACTAGTTCCTAATATTTTTGTAATAGCAACAAATTACCTTCCTACAAATACAAACATTAGGTTTGATAATACTATTTAAACAAAAGGTATCTACTAAAACTTGTATTTGATGTCACACCAGTCAAGGCCAAAGGTCGATGGTTCTGTGATACAGCGTAATATGGTTTACATAATTGCCTACTGATATTACAAGTTTGTCTGTGTTTTGTTGATAAAAACTTATTTTGAGTCTGATAACCGTACTTCAACTGAGACATGTTATTTGTCAATAACAGAGCTATATAAAAAGCAGGATTAATATATCTTTTTAGTATTGCTGTTGATTACGTACAGAAACAATGATTGTTGTTATATTATTATTTGTGGTGATTTGTGTTTTGACGTTTGTTTATCTTAAAGGACTGTATAATGAGAACTACTGGAAAAAGCGAGGAGTGAAATTTGATGATAGGAATAAATTGATGGGTCCTTTTTGGGACTTCCTTGTTAGTGACAGATCGATGTTTGAGATTATGGCGGATTTGTATGCAAAGTATCCTGATGAACCAGCTGTTGGTTTTGGAACAATAACTTCACCTGCCTTATACGTCAAAGATGTGACGAATGTCCTATATGTGTTGCAGGGACCCATGTTTCTTGATAGAGGAGTTAATTATCTTGCTGACGATTACTTGGCAGACAACATACTCTTTATGAGTGGCGCTAGATGGAAGCTCATGAGACAAAAGATGACTCCACTATTTACGTCTGCAAAGTTGAAGAACATGTATTATATCATAGATAAGAGCGCTTTGGACTTTATTGACTACTTGAATAAAAACCCTGCAAAACTGAAGGCTAAGGACACATTCGATACACTGTCTATGTTCTGCAGTGCTGCTGTTGGAGCTGCTGTTTTTGGAGTTAGCACTAAATCAATTTTCGATTCACCATTCCTGGAAATGGCTAGAGATGCATCAAAGCCCACATTTAAGAGTAATATGAAGTTTACTCTTGCAAGCATAGCTCCAAAACTCTTCCAGGCATTTAAAATGCGATTTTTTAAAGAGTTTGAGCCATTTTTCATCGGTGCAATAAAAAACGTTTTAAGACAACGTGAACAAGAAAATGTGAAGAAGCATGACTTTGTTGACATCTGCTTGAGTATCCAGAAGAATGGTGTTATGAAGAATGAAGACGGTAGCCTAAAGATGGAACCGACGGACGAGCTGTTGGCTGCTCAAGGGTTCTTTTTCTTTATTGCAGGTGTAGAGCCAGTAGCGACTGCTGTTTTTAGTGCTATGATTGAAGTGGGCAGACATCCTGAAATTCAAACAAGGCTCCAGGAGGAAATAGATTTCATTTTCGATAAGTACGATGGTCAATTATCATATGATGCTGTTTCTGATATGGAATACCTGGAAAGTGTGATTAATGAAGCTCTGAGAATGTATCCTCCGATTGGTATTTCAACACGACGGTGTATGGAAGATACGGTATTACCTGTAGGCAATATTAAAGTCGAGAAGGGTACTGCCGTATTCCTTCCCGTTTACGAGTATCATCATAATCCCGAATTCTACGAGAAACCTCATGTTTTCGATCCTGATCGATTCTCTGGCGATAAACAACAACTTGGTGTTCTTTACCAACCTTTTGGCTTTGGAACTAGAACATGTATTGGTATGCGATACGCAAAACTTCAAGCGAAGTGTAGTTTAGCTCATATTATTCGTAATTTCGTGTTGAAAACTGTTATTGGTAAAGGTGGAATAAAGTTTGGTAAAGATCAGGTACAGTTGCGATTAAAAAATGTACACGTTGAGCTCAATCACAGAAAAACAAAGTTTTCATAAAGTACATATACATTTTTTTTTACTTTTATAGAATATTTTGTAAGTTAAAAATACTGTTTGCATATTTTGTATTATTGATTGTGATGGATAATATTTTATTTTTTAGCTTCAATCTGCTAGATACCTGAGTGGATCGCAATACAGAAAAAAAGTTGTCAGTGTGCAAAAAATTTTGTCTTCTCTACGGCTAATTATATTCACGTTTTCTTCTTATTTTTTTTATCTGCTAATATCAAAGATACATAAAGGCTGATGACCTTAATATGCTGAGATGAAGGTTCTTATGTGGGAGGTGAAGATATACCTCATTTTTAAACAACTTCCGGACTTTCAATTGAACTTAATAAAGCCAGTGGACTGTTTTTGTAAAAGCTTCATCTGAGTGGAATGTAATAGCTAGCTTGTCGAAGTGAAAGCTTAGAGTTTACAGCATTAGCCGTATGCCTCTTCTTGACTTGTCCAATGCTAATATCAATTTTTTTAGTAGGTCTACGAAGAGTGTCTGGAGATATTTAGGTAAACTAACTCTATTCGTCACTCATCGATTTTTTTTGCAAAATCTTTGATCTCAATCGACTGCTTATTCCATTTGCTTTTTAATTGGTACTTAAAAGTTTTGGAAACATTTCTTAAAAATTGTATGTGATTAAGACTACAGATTGTTTTTACGATTAAAAATGATGATGAAGATCTTTACATTTTGTATGTAGTTTTTTTTTAACTTACTATTAAAAATATAATATTTTTATATTTGATAAATTTTGGATTCAGAATGATATACTGAAAAATAAAAATGCTTAAATAATCCACTTCATCTCAGAATGTGATGTCAAAGTGGATTTTTAAAGCAATTTTTATTAAGAATATAATATTGACTAAAATATGTCTTTTAAATATAAAGTTTTAGTTACTCGTGATTGTAACTGATAAATAAAACTCTTTAAAAAGTAAAAACTACAAAAAATAGTAATAAAAAAAATATTTAAACGCTGGAATCTAAGTCGATCTTTTCCGACGAAATCGATTCAGCAACAAGAAAATAAAAATAAGAAAAACATAAAGTTAAGCAGTTTTGAGTTTGAAATAGTGATGTAGACATTCTGAACTTAATAAAACAACTTAAAACTTATGTTACTTTTACAAAAAGTTACAAAATGAAGACAAAACATCACTATGTATTTCTAAATAGACCAAAAAATAATTAATTTTAACATTTTAGATTTAAATAATATATACTACAGTATTAACGACAACTGATACTAAACAAAGTAAAAAGTATTCTTTCAATTAATTTAATATACCACTTCAAACTTCTCTAAAAAATTAACTAAAACATATGCCGCTTATCAAAAATCACTGAGGAAGGAAAGTTCAAGTTATCACAACTAAGTACCGCGAGTGATGTTGCGTAGTCATTAACTTTGTACTAGAATACACCTTTAACTAAATATAATTAAAGTAAAAAGTCGACTCTCTTATTTTATTAAAACGACCTTAATATCACGCCAATGTATTGACCCCAATGTAAGACGGAACGCATCTTTGTTTTAAACCGTGTAGTTATAATAATAAACTTTATCGCACAACACAAGATAACATACAAGAAACACAATAGATATGACGGTATAAACTAAAACTATGACTTTTTTTTATTGGCGCCTGTTGAGGATTTCCAGTTGAACCGACCTATTTTTATACGTTGTCTTTGTTTTTATATATATTTTTTATATATATTTGATTTTTATTGAATTTTGTTTTGTATTTGACATATGGTCTGACTTTTTTGATTGTCACGTGCTTTGGCGAGTATATTTGTTTTGTGGACAATATAAATAGTTTTGAGAAGATAAGCTGTTTATTTTCGCACCTGTGCCCACACCATTCCTCGTCACCCTCTTCGTCGACAACAGCGCCTATTTGTTGATGTTTGCCTTACAGACAATCTTACCGCCACTCGAGAGAACGCTGCCATCGTATGCAGTTCTTATTATGATTTACCTTCGTCCATTCAAATTTGCAATCATTAAATATTATCAATTGATCTTGTACACGATGCACATATCGTGGTAGCCGCTGTTTTTAAAACAGGAAGTATCTTATACACAAGTTTCAATGTTGTTACAATGTCTTAAAATCTTGGCAACAGTTAGAGAGTGTGGTCGCGTTTGTCAATTAAAGGTTTTTCGTAGTAACAAAGATAAATATACAACTAACTGTTAATAAGGTAAGCTTATTTCATGAAGGTTTGTTTTGCAAGTCTATTATATGGTTGAGTAAAAGGTGAATGAAAATTAGATGAATTACACCCGGTTTCAGAATTGAGAATTTGAAGTTGAGAACGACTCAAAACGTGCTTAAGCCACTTTAAACAGGTTTTCATTGCTGATTTATAATTTTTTAATGATCAGTTGATAGCAATTTGATAAAACTAGGACTTTTACAGCCAGTTGCACAAACGTTCATTAAGATTTTGACATTCGACATTTGACATTCATTAGAGCTTAAAGGCATCATTAAACCTTAATGGACGTTTGTGCAACTGACCATTAGTCATATGAAATGTAAAAAACTTAAGTTATTGAGAATAATCAGTTTCAGAAAACGGCCGTTAATGAAGTGAGGATATAAAACGTAATAAATTTGTCATTTTAAGTCTAACCGCTACAAATTTGTAAATTAGTTCGATATCAGAATAAAGCTTAGTCTATCATAATATGAGTGAAATACATCTGTTTATTCTATTTCATGAAGGGAAAATTATTACAAACATCAAAATATATGACGTGACGAAAGTATGGTCGCCCAGTGTGAATTGGTGGTTATAAACGACTGCAGATGCACCCGGCACCAACAGGTTTACGAGTCTTCCGAAGTTTGGAGGATCTCGAGTTCATAAATTTTTGGTTATATCTATGACCTGCTATTGCGCAAGTTACTTAATAACCATATCGCAGACCAAGCGCGCATACCACTGCGCCATCTAGCTCTTAGATATTATATAGTTTTTTTTTGTACCGAGGTGAACTGACCTTAACATGCTATCGACCTTGATGAGAGGCCGACTGAACCCGGCCTCTCATGCTGCGGAGGTTAAAGAACCCCTACCGTGCAAAACCCCCCGTATTACCCTCACAAGGGTCTATGACCTGGTATCTGGCAAGGAAAACCCAGGTTACCCAGACCATATAAATATATATCTAGGATGCATGGAAAGATTATATTATTGTTCTATTAATGTCTTTAAATCTTGTATTAAGAGTCATAGAATATCGATAATACTGATGTTTATTCAAACCGTATTTAAACTACATACTATCAAGGAAAAGACGATACGTCATTTAAAATTTATCGGTCAAAATAATACCTTAGTATCAGAAGTTCATACTCTATTATTGTTAATAACTTAGTATAATGCACGTGATGTCTACTCATACTTATTTATGAGAATGTTTTTTTTTTTACAGAAATACACCAACTGCGTTGTTAATGATGACTAGTGATTTAAATTACGTACTCTGTTTGTTATGCGGTATAATTGATAGTAAGTACTGGAATGATTACATGTTCCACTTGAAGAGACATAATTGTAAAAGATAATTAGTAAGATGTTTAGGTTTATTTTGCTCACCGACTTACGGTTCTATCAACTGATCTTATTCTTAAGATTTCAAAAGTACTCTTTTAAAGGTACCTTTTTCTGAGAAGAACTGGGCTTTTATTACACTGAGAAAAAGATTTCTATGTGTAAGAAAGGCCGGTTCCTTTCAGTACAAGGTTTCCCGCAGTACATTTGCGAACTGAGGGCATGGTTTTCGACTTTAACAAAAAGTCTAAACTGAATAACCGTATTGAATTAGAATTATCTTTTATTGTTAATTATATTGCTTTTTTGGGCCTTATTCATTTAGCCCTAATTTTGAAGCAAATTTCTTTTTGCCATGGTATTTTTTAATTAGTGTTAAACGCCGAGACCCACCTTTCTCCATTTTGGTCGATTCTGACATACCTCTCTCGCTTTATCTACTCTTCATACTTTAAGTACAGTGACGCCAGCACTTAGAATTTATCGCATATATATTTCACGCGTAGCTTTCTCGGGTGCGTTCGTGTAATATCTCATTCTCGACCGGAGAAAGTGACATTTGGGTGAGGATAAAGCTTTTCTTGAGTTTGTCATGTTTGTTTGTTTCTGTTCACTGCAGCAGCATGTAGAAGCATTTTGAAGTTGACGTAGGTCCTTCTTCAAGCGCGTTGCACAAAACTTTAGTTGGAATCAAGTGGACCAATTTTTATGTGCCCTAGTATTAAAGTAACATAAAACGCTGGCGGTTGCATGCTCAAATTATATCTTTAATCGTTTTTCAGTTTCTAACAGCCAATATATGTCAATGAAAAATACAAATAACCCGCCACTCGCCTGTGATGACACTAGCGGGGCCAAATTAGTGGAGCATTTCTTCAACGTGATCTTCAATGAATTTAGTAATAATCAGCCGGTCTGTGTATGCGTTCAGATGTGTGCCGATCAACCGACTTATTGCTATCCAAACGGATGCCTGAAAAAAACAGACAGTAAAAAGAAAATCAATTCTTCATCGGTCACTCATATCCATAACGATGATTCCAAAACTATGTTTTTGGTCGACGAGAAAAACAACTTTGCTCAAATGGTAAATGCTCGTGCTGATGAAATTAGTAATGGTAAGGTTCTTCCTATTGAAAATATTTTATGTTGGAATTTTTTATTTGCTAGCTTTTGCGCCAGGCTTTATTTTGCGGAAATCCATTGCTATAACTGTGAAACTATGATATCTTATAACTTACACACCCAGTCAGTATTACACAAGACTTGCTGTGTACCGCTCGCACACAAATTCACATATACAAACAGTAACAAATATTGCAAGTCACCACTGCACACTGGTGGTTGGCACTGTGTAATTGCTTCTGAGGTTGCTCCGTTGAGGGACGAAACACGTTTAGAGTGGTGACTTTGGCGGACAAAGCAGGTCTTGGGGATATTGAATAGGTGTGGTAGTTGCTAGATATTGCAGTTCCACGGTTGAAGAATTTTACTATCAACAGAGAAAACCACATATAATAATAATAATAATGATTTAGCTCTTGCCACTCTCGTCTGATGAATTAATTTTTTCACAAAAATACATTCTTAATGAGAATAATGTTA